AAAGACCGGGCATACTGCAAGGACCTGTCAAGAGTCAATTGAGGTTAATAGGGAATAGTCTAGCGATTAATTTTAATTGATCAGATATGTTGTGGTGTTTTATTTCTCTTTCTGAGTCTTCACGTGTAGATTGGTGGAGCACTCGCTTGTCTGGAGCACTCGCTTATCATGCACGTTAGTGGGAACGCTAATTAGCCAATACGAGCCACACCCAATCCTTCGCTCTTAAAATGCGCGTCACTCGGATGAAGCCGGGCTGGAAATTTGATATGTTCACGTTGAGACGGCTGTACTTGTGCATACTGGCCTTTTCGTGTGCAGGACTGACCACGCAGAATGTCAGAGTTGAAATAGTAATTATTTTTTCTTTAACTTTAAAAAGTTTAATAGTCTTTATATATAAAATTTTAATAATCTCTTATCTCTATCTTTATTAGTATATTTTTAATTTTAGTAAGAATAGTTAATAGACACTACTAAAGACCGTTGCTAGATTATTGTAAGAAAATCTTACTTTCTTTGGCGGTACTGCTTAAACAGGCCAGATTCACGTGTCTGCACTGGCGCGTACGTCGTGTGACTTCCAGTCGAACAAGGTCTCCAGACAAAGCTGAAACAAAAACGAGAACAAAGCATAGAGTCCGTGTCTAATCTTGCCACCACGCTACAGCACACTTTCGCATTGATGATCTGGCCTTCCGCAAGGCGTCATACATGGCGGAAAGAGGACAGATTTTGAGTTCAATCGTAGTAGCAATACATTGGAGAAAAAGACAGATACTGTAGCTACACACAGACGTGGGACATATGGAGATTGTCATCGTACAACCTGCCTCTTTGGGAATTGCCCGAGGGGTAGGAATACGCATTGTCGCCAAGCTAGATATTCAAATTTGTCTCCAATAGTGTTTGAGAGATCTACAGCAATGGTAGACGGTAGCTTCTAGCTGAACAATTACACGACTGTCGGACCGATATCGTGACTAATCTGTAACTACAAGAAAAATATAAAGACTGCGTTGACTCCCTTCGTCTTCAAGGAAACGTACGCCCACAACATATCAACGATTTTGTTATTTTTCTCCGACAGCCTTGATAAATCACTTTTGTACTTGTATGTTCGACTGTTGAGTTAGCAAAACTACAAAAGTTAACTCGGTTAGTCGCCATGCTAGTACTTGCTTTGTTGGGCTGCTTGGCAGCCGTAGCTGAAGGGTGAGTCGTGGCGGAACAAAAAGCCCTGGTTGATTCAATTTTAACTTAGATTCTAGGGCGTCGTTGGGCTGTGAGCAGCGATTGGTCACTTGCAACCATGTGTGGACAAACGCCGAGATCGCCAATCTCCCACATGACGAGACACCCGTAGAGGGGGACGTGAATGATATCATTGCTCGTATAGACGACTACGAGGAGGAAACAAATGAGGAAGCAGAATATTGTCTCTGTGGTGATCCAGTCATCAGGGCCCAGGATCCATCTGGTGCGATAGCAGCTACCTACAGCTGGGGGAAAAGGATTGAGGTCACTTTTCTTGTGCGTAGGTTCAGAAAGACTTGTCCGCCTTCCCGCCTCGTGCGAGAGGTTTGCAATGTTCAGCAGGGTGGTAATAATGCATTCTGGGGCGTATCTGTTGTTGAGAATGGCAACGTGCACTGCGGTGAGCAGTAAACCTGTACGCAACAGTCCAATTAACACATACTGTCATAGAGCGACAAATGAAAGTGGTAGCTGATTTAAGACTGCATGACGTTGATACTCTTTTCTATCGAGCTCTCTGATTTCACAAGTTTGCCCCACAACTCTTGATGACTACTGAAATACTCGAACTATGCTCATACTGTATACACATTGATGACTTTGTTTCGAAGAGCAGCTAAGCTTTCTTGGTAGCCCTAGTAGTATGAACTGTTGAAAAACATTCGATTCAATACGTCTCGCCATGAGAGCTAGACAAGTGTCCACAGCAGTTTCCAGAATTTTGAAGAAACGCTAACATTAGCTTTACGGGTCAATCTAAATCTACCCGCAATGTATCGACATCCTTGTTTTCATGGCAGCCAAATCCCTGACATAGGTACTTTCATGTACACAGATTCGTGTACGATCGTCATGGTACGGATATAACCTTCACACGCCATCGCGCCTCGCGTTCTTCATGTAGAAGCGCTGACTGAGGTTTCGCGTTGTTGGTTCAGATTGCTTTTTCCGAGTAGTCAGGATTCAAGGTTTCCACTTCGCGGACCCATCGCAAGGCGCGATACCCTTGTGGTATTTCCACAAACTCTCCTCGATACGGAACCAGCACCCTTGAACGCCGAAAGAAGCACCCCGGCAGAGGTTGAAACGTACACCCCGGTAATTCAAAACAATCCCCTACATAGCGCCGCCTGGAATGAAATCTACAGGATGAGATGGACTATGAGGTTCTGGACCTTGGGCGAATATTTCTGAATCTTGTAATCTTACAGTTCACGGTTCGTTGGAGATGTGGGGATATAACGCTCAATCGTTGGACCTGGGGGCCTTTCAACCTGTTTAACTTTTCACCACTGCAACCACAATTTTACCATTGAGATACTTCATGTGCTGTTTTATGTGGTAAGATAAGCCCGACAGAAAAAGAATCTGGACAAAGCGCGTTGCAATGTCTATATTCCCGTAAGACCAGTTTAATCTCCCGAAATCAAGCCACCTCTTCGATATCACTATTGGGATGAGTCTTGCGGAATAGTAATACTACATCGCAATTACGTACGTAGGACACTTATACTTGCGGCAAATAGCAGAGGTCATGACCAGTCGAGTTCGAAACATCTGGGATTAAAACAAAACACGTGTTCAAGATTTCACACTTGAGTGTAACTACATTAGTAACATTATCGGCCACTAGTGGTTTCATAAGGAGATTTTGTCCATCATCTACTTGATTCGGATCCTTCGCCCTCAAACTACAATGCGTACGCCAGATCAGCAACAAACCATGCGAATTGGCTCAGACCAACATGAAACAGAAGTTCAAGATGCAACTACTTCCATTTCTCCCTTTCCCGGGTCATAGTTTTTCTTTCCGCACACATCGCATTCACAGTACGTTTTTTTCGTTTCCCTACTCTGTTAACAACAATCGTTCTTGTGGACTTTGAGCCAACGGGCAGACGCGGCAAGGCCCATCTACAATAGCGGGCGGGAGAACCCTGCAGATCATGCCGAACACCCCACTATCTTCAAGGGTACGTACGTCCCAATAGGGGGCTTTATTAGCTGTTCACTGGACCAATTGTTGAGCCTGTCGTGCCCTTGCTATTTCCAGGATAAGAAAGAAACCCGTTTCTAATCTCGTCACTATCCATTTGACCACCTTTGTGGCAAAGTCTTCGGCGTCTTGGAGGGTCTTTGAATTTGCAAACCATTTTTTCCTTCTACTTCAGTGACTTTGGGTCCTCAATCGACAGACGGAACCAAATAGCCGGCTTTGGCCGTCAGGGAAAGCCATGGAGCCGAGACATAGTGGATACATCATCAGCATCTTCGATGCCGCCACAGCTGATGATCTTACCTGCAGCCTTCCTCAAGCCCCCGGGGTTGAGGAAGGTACTGACCAGATTTCTTCGCCAGATCGCGATCGAACGCTTGGGGTCAGTTCACCTTCTACCAAAACACCTATGCACTTAGAAAGGTATCATCGCTCTGACAAAATCACACCCCGCCATGTATCAGGTCGAGCTAAGCAACCTATCGGTACAGACGGCAAGGTAGACATTATGTTAGTGGAAAGCGACGGCATGACAAACATTTGAGGCGAAATCGGCAATCAGACCGCAACTCGAAAGAGCACAGAGGGATCGCCCTTACGAGAGCACGGAGACAAGTTAGAGAACTTCGAATGGCGTTAGAAAGCGCACTCAACGAGAACCAGAGACTAGTAAAGGAGCTAAGTTGGTGGCGACGAACAACCCACACTAAGACTCCTCCTAGTAGATTTCTCAATGCAGTAATGGAGACCTGCGAAGAAGCGCATCACATTAATAGCCTAGGCTTCGAGGAAAGAAGTGATAGAACGCTTGCTCCCTTACGAGACTGAAATCTGATCTGTTACCGAAGATATGATACATTGTGATGGCTGTGGGAATGGGACAACGTGTCAGTATCGTCTGTAGATTCAATCCATATGATCCTTCATTTTTCCCTTTCAAATTTCACTGGATTCTGAAGCTGTCCTGATGGATAACAGGACACCGACGATGGGGGGAATGAGAGTAGAGCCCCCACGACATCAAGAGGGTGCTGTGGAACATTGAAGTCTAGCTCGCGTGAGAGACCGAGTCAATTTGCCCGCTAACCATCATTGTATACCGTAGGTTAAGCACGGCCATTCCAATTTGAGGTTCATTACCTATAAGTTCATCTGCAACGCTCAGTAGCATTTCAGGTACAGTTGTATGTGGTATGAAAGCATGACACAGGAATGTTGTTTTCTCCTTAAACCGAGAAAGCGCTGCTGTTGCCTCCGTTTTGGGTGGAAAGCGTCGCCATTTTAAGAGGCACGAGCAGTGCGGAGAGTTCAGCGACAGGAGGTCGCGGGGCAGGTACTATATACCTCGAGGGCTGGCTCATGCACGGACCCCGTTACACGTCCAGGAATGACATGTGCCCGTCTGAGTGTCTAGTTTCGGCCCCCCTCCTTCTTCCCCCCTTTCATCACCAACACAGGTGGTCTAAATTCAGCACCTGGGCGCGTCCGTTTTCTGTTTCCTGTCGTCACCCGTCATGAATCCATCCCGTGCCGCCCAGAATAGGCATACTCGAGCTACCATGGCGGCCTCTTCAGTGTGCTATAAATCGGCAGCGCCGTCTCTGCCCTCGGTGCCCTCAGCTTCCCAATTTACATCCGCTTGAGACGTGTCGTTAATCGCCGCCATTCTCCCTTATCGAACCAATGTCCACCGCCATGACAGTAGCGCGGCGATCTGCTACAACGCGCGATCTACACCAGGGCAATGTCGCCTTTCTTGAAAGCTTTGCTGCCAAAGAGGCCCAGAGGCGAGCTGCGAAGCAGAAGCCGACGCTGTCGATTGAAGAGCACGCCGCGCATCGGGCGCAGTTGGCTGATGTCCTTTTTATTAAACCTAAATATGCTGACGAAACCGAGATTAACGTCACGGGCATCTTTAGAAAATGGGTGCGGTATGCAAAACTGTCTTGTCGAAGCCGTCTTTTCGCAATTGCGGTGTGTGCTGACTTCTGTTACGCCAGGTACTGCACCGATATGAAAGTGGGCGATTGGAAAGCGACGATTCAAAACCTCAGACGCGAGACGACGCAGGACTTCATTCTCTTCATGTGCGAACACTACAACATAAGATCATGGGGCAGCACCCATGAGTACATTCGACAGTTYCAGCAGCTCTACACAAACATCAACGGACGGTACATGGATCGGAATGACGCTAAGGAGGTGTACAAGGTATGTCAGACCTTGTTGGTTCGGGCGCAATCTGTCATGGACTGCCAGCCGGCTGCTTGATCTGTTTGACCTGTTGGTCGTGCTTACATGGAGACAGTACTACCGCCGCGTTTGCATGCCGCGCTTCGGT